CTGGGCTGTCACCTTGGGCGGTGTGGTTCTGCCTTTTCCCCGTTTGCGTGGCGTCACCAAACCCGCGGCGGGGATTCTCGGTGTGGAAGCGCACATCTGGTGCATATGTGAAGTATTTGTAGCGTCTTTTGGTGGTGTGCGTGACGTGGAGTTAGCGCCCTGGGTACGGCTCTGAGCCGCCGGGCTCCTGAGTCAGAAACACGGAGCTTCCCTCTTCGTTCTGCTCCGGCTTCCTGAACACCTAAACCTGCCGCTCACACAGGTCCTGTAGCTGCATGTGTTGGACTTCACCTGCTAGGATTTGTTTTTTGGGGAAGCGCTTAATTTTAAGTATGTGTCACGGGTTCTTCTCTGCACTGCAAGAGGCTTCTGGACAGGCTTCATCTTTGGCGTGAATCAGATCCCAAAAGTCGCGTCTGCCTGAAGGCAAATTTAGAAATGTTCCCTCCGCTTCCCTCAGCAGTGTTTTTCATGGCGGATGTTTGTTTTCTGTGTGGTCAGAGATCCCCGTGAGGCGCGCGGTTTCTCTGAAGTCGCACTCTGTCATCTGTGCATTCCTCGTTTCTTTGTGCCCATCTGCAGGAACCGGGATCCTGTCGTCACAGCCAGAAGAGAATCCGCACTGGTGGAACGCAAACATGGTGTAAGGAGGGACAGCGCGGGAAGTGGGTGACGCTCACACAGCATCCCCTGCCGTGGGGCTCGCGAGAGCGCTCAGTGACGGACCAGGACTAATGAGGGAGGACGCTGAACGTCTCCTCCTTTGCTCTCGTTCGGCTCCGAGCGGCGCTGGCAAGGCCTGGAGAAACTCAAGTCTGGTCTCTGCGGAGTTGTGGGGTGATCCAATGGGGATGGCTCAGAGCCTGCCCCGATCGCCGCAGTGCGGCTGTCAGGGTGGGCTGGTGCACGTTGCACGTCTGCCAACTCCAGAGGGGTGCGCAGCACTTCTGGCTCAGAGAGAAACGCAAGGCCCCAGTTCGTGTGTGCATCTGTGTGGCAGGGAAAAGCAGAAGGGGGGATGTTGATTGGCGTTCTGCAGCTGGAGGTGAAAATGGGAAGGTAGCTTCATTCCTGCAGAACCTGCAGTGGCTGCAGCCAGCATTTACACTGCATTGACAAAACCTGCTCGTCTTTCATGCGAAAAACTGAAGCGCAGAGTTTCCAGTGGCAGGGCACCCACCTCTCAGTGGGACAGCCGAGAGCAAAACCTCGGCCCATCGCTCTGCTCAGGGCTTCAGACTGCTACAAGACACGTTATTTACTGATTAACGTCAGTAAAATACCAGTGTTCAGGAGGAAACCCAGCACAGTTGTAGTTGTTACTCGGTGTGCACCAAGGTTCGTGGTGTAACTGGACAAGAAACCCCTCTCCCCTGCCCAGGGCTTGATTTCGTTCCAGCGACCCGACCTCGTCCTCACCCGCATGCCGAGGGCCCGCGGGGGCTCACACAGCTCTCTCTTACAGATTCATCCCGTATTGCTCAAGTGATGTTTGGAGCGGTGCCTCTTCCAAGCCTGAGAAAAGTGAGTGTTGCTGACGGGCTGTTGCTGCCCCAGACATCGCACATGAAAGGACATGGCCAGACTTCTGTGAAACTGCGCGGATGGAGAACAGGCTTTTTCTTGCTGAAGGGCGGAAAAGAATATCAGGCTACTTCCAGATAAAACATCCTGATCTCTTTAGCTGGGGCTGTGTTGACGTAGTTCAGAGGCACTGCTTGCAGAGATGTTACACTGGGGCAGTATGCGAGGATCAGAGGAATGAAATTCCTTTGAGATGAATCCCCAGGTTCCCGCACACGGCAAATGAAACGGGGTGGTGAGGAGCCATGGTTTGCTGCGCGCGGCTTTGCTGGTCTGAGCAGCACAGGCAGTGAATTTGGTCTCAGACTCCTCCCAGGGGGGTATTTGGCCTCTGAAAGGAGCTGTCGTGTGTCGGGGTAAAGCTGCCTGTGGGTTTCCTGGGGATACAAAGCACAGTTCATCGTAATCTGTGCACTGCCATGACCAGACCCCGTGCAGATGAGCTGTTCCTCCGTGTCCTGCTCGGGGTTTCCCAGCTGGAGCAGGGTTGGTGTCGGTGCAGAGAGTCCACGGGAGCACCAGGGGCTTTGCGCTGCTCCCCTCTGTCTGGAGGGGTTTGTGACCAGAAAGGTGTCACTGTTGGTACGCGCTGCTCCAGCAGAGGCTGGGCCTGGGCTGCTCCGTGGTGGCCGCGGAGGGCAGGAGGTTGGTGCTTGCTCCGTTGTGTCGCTCCGTGCCTCTTCACTGAGTCTCACCTTGGGAAACCACCCGTGGGTGCCGCAGTTGCACGGTTTGTCACAGTGAGGGACCTTTCCACTTCATTGAAGCCCCTGGCGACGTTCTGTGAAGTGGTCACACTGCAGCAGATTCGGCTGCCTTTGGTGGAGCCGCGCTCTGTGTCGGTTTACGCTTCTGAAGCGCTGCCCGTCCGGACTGGCCTCATGAACTGGGAGCAGTGGGGTGCTGTGAGGTGGCAGGAAGGCGAGCGTGTTCCTCACGTATAAAGGGCCCCGCGCCTTCCTGCGTTGCTCTGGTTTTCCTTCCCTAAGTTCTCCAGTCCCAAGCGCTGCTGTGGGAAGGTGTCCTTGTGCTGTGTGAATCCTGGTCACTCTGTCCAGGTTCAGGGAAGCAAGTTTTGCACAGGGAGGGAGCATCTCATGTTGGATGGACCCGATACAGGCGGAGAGAATGGGCCTGGTTTGGTTTTGTAATCCCTTCTGAGGGTCCTGAGCATCTGTGGAGAGGAAGCAAAAGTCTTGGCCGGGAGAGGAAAAAGCTTTGTTGACGCTGAGCTCTGTTCCAGACGAATACGCCTTCATGGGAGCGCTCATCATCCAGGAGGTCATAAAGGAGCTGGTGGGGAAGGGTCTCGGCACTGCGAAGGTGCTGCTGCTGGCAGGGAGCAGGTGGGTGCCCGCGGGGGTGCGTGGGGTGAGGATGGGAGGTTTCCGCAGCACGGGGGGGACGTCTCGGCAGCTCCCGGGAGGTTCCTCCAGCAGTGCAGCAACACAAACAGCAAACCCGGGGTCTCTGCTCGGTTTTCTCCCTTGGGTGGTACAACAGGGAATGATTCAGCTTCAATTCCTTGGCTTCTGATCCAGGTACACTTAGGAGAAAATGGAGAAAATAACAAGAAGGTTTTTAGGGAGGGAGCGTGTTCATGTGTCCCACATCAGGAGTGCAGGTTCCCGCTGGTCCTCGCCATGAGACGTGCGCCTCCTGTGCGTGGATTTGGGGCACCTGGGTTAACAAACCAGACTTGCCTGACGCGGGCGCTCCAAATCGCGCTGTGCTGCAGGAGCCTGCGGTGCGCTTGGGGCGTGGGGCACAGGGGTGTAAAACAATTGCAAAGGGTGAATTTGTCCCACTGCAGAGTCTCGGGTTTTCAGCAGCCGAACCCTTGCAATACAAAGCGCGTGTATAAAAACATGTGCACGTAGAGCTGCTTCACCCAGAAGAAAGAACGAGAACAGGATTTGGTTTCTGAGGTGGTTACTCAGCTTTATTCCCGAGTGTTGAACACAGCAGGGACCCGGTGATGCCCGGGCGGGCGGTGCCGTGAGCTGTTCCCGGTGCGTCCCCGCCGTGCCGGGCTGCGCGTGGCCCTCGGCCACGTGGCGGCTGCCGGCCCGCCG